CTGATGTCAGACTCAGGTGGTGGACAGTGTCCACTCCCATCCATTGGGAAAGTGAGTACAGTGTTTTGAATCAAATCAAGAGTGAAAAGACCAGTTATAATCACTACTAGTCACAGGAACTACACTACTGTGTAGTTCCTGAGTAGGAACTGGTGTAATTGTAGAATGAATCCTATAAGAGGTGATGGGAGCTTCCATGTAAAGCCAAATGAGGTGTTGAACGTGGTTTCAGGTTTTGCTGAAACCATTAAAGTAAATGAAGAGATAGAAGAAGAATAAAATAGAAAAAACACCTAAACGATTAAAATAGGGAAAATACAAATAAAGGGGATAACCAGAAATGGGGACTAAATATAAGAGGAGTAATTAAGACAAGAATGCAAATTACTGTGATGCCTAGTGGATAGTACACCACCATAGAGGTTTCCTTTGGTGAGAATTTGGGGAAAGAGAAATAAAACTCTTACTAATGACTATAAGGGCATATGGGTAAAGAAAGTAAAAACTATAAACTTTGTGGTGACTCAGTCAATGTCTGGTATACATTATATGTATACTTCAAGAGTGTGCTGCTGGGAGCATAGGTGTCATATAAGCCACCTGGCTAATCAGAATTGTCCAGAGGTTTGTGTGTATGATAAGATCAGACCATACATGGTATGGAAGATCAGTGGGATTGAGAATGATGTGTGAATGATAAGCCCATTGAAGTTAAAAGCAAACCAGTTCAAGTGAGTCTATGGTAGAAATGGGGATCAAATTGGGGAAATTAAATTCCTTACTTTAAAGGCATTGCTGAAATTTCTGAAAAAGGTGGAAACAAAGTAGAATGAGTATGTTCAAATTTGGCATTATGTCATTACTGTTGTCTATCATAAGTACACATAGAAGAGATTGTTTAAAGAAAGAGTGCAACAGTAGAAGAATAGAAAGATGGAGAAGAGAAATGTAGGGCCAGAGCAGGGACTGAACTTCCCCATATGCTGTCTCCTGCTACAATAATTCCTACAGGAGGGGGGAGGACCCCTCTAGGATAAACAACTCCAGGAAAACCAACTGTGCCTGACCTGTTCAGTCTCTCTCTCTGAATCCTACAGCAGTGACTGGGAAAGGGCAGAGAAAACTAACTTTGCTTCTCCCAGGAAATCTTTTTTGTCACTAGTAGATACCTAGAACCACAGGCTGGGGAGCCAAAAGGACAAAGGAGTGTGATGATGACATTCCCAGGTTGGTGGTTGGTGACTGTTTAGATACACATCTTGTACGTTTAAAGAAACAAGGGGAACGTGGATTTAACCAGATGAGGAAACAAAGAGAACAGGAGAGAGAGATGGGGAAAGATTTCTTGACCATCATCCCTTGTCCGATCTAGTGAGAAGGACAAGATCCAGAGGAGTTTTGGCCAGAGGCGCCAACAAAAGGACTACAGGAACAACCATAGGAGACAGCGGGGTGCAGATCAGAGTATTGAATAGTACGCATACATAGATACAGACACACAAGGGGAAGAAAAATGATGACAATGAAGAGCCAGTAGTTACACACTAATGATATTTACAGTTAACAAGATGCTAAGATAACTTTAGGTTAATTCTAAATATACTAAGTGATATAGTGAGATTCTTTGTAGACATAGGAGTAGATGTCTCCATAGTCAAAGCATTGCTTTCAGTAGTTTCTGATTGTTTGTGGAGAAAGTTCTGATTTGGGGAAAATATAGAGTGGAACTCTACATTAGACTATGTAAAAGAATATATCACCTCAGTCTTGAAGCAGTTGAAGACATTGTTTTTGCCTCTCATAAATGAAAAAGCCACTGTTGAAGGTAATCATTCACTAAGTAATCAACTCATTCTGTGAGATCGGCTACTTGTGGGAGGTGCCCATGTATAGTTAGGATTCCATCACCTAGCATATGGCCGTCAATTCTAGAGATAATGCCTGAACAATTACTTGCCAAATGTCAATATGCTGCTTTATCATGGTTGAAGTATCAGCAAGAATCAGCGCTGGATACTTGGATGGCTGTGTCAGTGCATTTATATAACCCTAAGAGAGAGTGTGCTTGGATGATGGATCTGCCAAATATAGACTTAACTGATCAAAGGGATAAGATTATGGCAGTTCCTGGTTCAGTGGAAGTGGAAACTGTACAAGCAGAAGCTTGCTTTTGTTCGAATGACACTCAGGGTGTAACTGGGATGTTTATGGGAATATCAGATTGTGACGATTATATGATGACCTGGGATAAGCATGAACGTAAGGTTAGTGATAAGATGTATAAAGTAACTTTCTATGTACCATCTCGTAAACAGAGCAGAACTGTGATGGAGAAATATTCATTTTGAATATCGAATTGTGTTGTAATCTTCACATTTGATATTGTTTTGGTATTTAGTAGTTTAATATTAACCAAAGGGGGGAAATGGAATGTGATGCATAATTTTATATTTTATATTAATTTGTATTGGATGTTTTAATTTGAATGTTTTTGCAAAAGATACTGGTTGGTGTTTTCTTTTCTTCCAGAGCATATTGGGGGAATGTGCAGAAGGGATTCAGATACTCAAATATGGACAATAATAACTCTGAACAAGGATATGGTGATAAAAGTTCAGATTCCATACATCATTGATACTACACAGAAAGCTGACACTGCTGAGGAGTTGCAGTGTGATACATTCTTATGTTTTTCTGATATATATATACATATTTGCATGAGAAATACTTAGTTTTATCATATTTTTTTTTGTATTGATTGTTTAGAGAATGATGTTTCTGTTATTGGGTAAATATATAGGGACCTCAGATGTTTTATTTCTTTTTCTTGATGCTTAGGGATATTGGGGACTAGGCAGGGACAGGTCCATTGGAAGGTACGATGGGTCGACCAGCCTGACATTGGACATTGTTTTGATTTTATTTTCTGAGGTTTCCACATGTATTTACTTAAACCATATCTCTAAATAAAATTGTTAAGATTCCTCTTTTTAATTGGTCTGGAGTACTATGTGTGGTCGCCTGAGGCAGAGGGACCGTGAGAGAATTTTCCTGTCTAGATTGTTTGATGGAAACTTTTGGAAAGAAAGCTGCCGGATGGGTTTTTCGCTCTCACACTCCAATAAAGTTGTTGTATGGTAAAGGTAATGCTGCAAAAGGCATGTGTAGGAGGAATTGTTTGTCATAAGATTAAACATGTGGTATCTGAAGGTTTATACATTAAAATTACATTTTGTTATAAGTTTAAATTATATTTTGTCAATATATACAGTGTTAGCATGTCCATGAGGTTCAATGATGTTCTTACTATGGAATGTTTGGTTAGGGGCCTCTCAATGGAGTTTGACCTCTATCTTGAACACCCCCATCTAGCCCTTTTACCTTACATATCTGGATTGGAACCAGATGTTTCTTTTTATCTTTTGGAGTAAACAACAGACCTATATAAACGTATGTCCGATGCAAAATAACAGAGCTGTTCATATGGCAGTCAATGCTCTCTAAGCTCCCGGGGCTGAAATGAAGCTGTACTTTTTTGTATAAAATCTATTATATACAATAATGAGTGTCATGGTCTCTTTATCTTCAATTCATTGCTACTTCAATTAGTCAATCTATAAGTCAAAGTGCTTGTATCTTTCATGGTTCAGTTATAATTTTCCTTCCTCGCACTATTTGGACAGTAACCAATTAACAAGTTTCTTCTTATCATAAATTTCCACTCTCCTGTATTATGTTTACCTATTTTAAAATAATATTTAATCCTGTATGCAGCCTGAGCACGTGATTTTGTTTTTGTTTCGTCTCTTCATTAGTTTCCTGTTTCTCTTAGATAATAAACACATTAAATGTATATTTACAGTATGATTTTCATTAATACAAACATTATTACTACAATCATCCAATAGTATATGAATTAATGATTTAGACAGATATGTGATGATTATGGGATGATTGTAGTAATAGTATGACAATAATGTGGTTTTATTATAATATTGCTCATTGAAAATCAGATTTGTAAGGGGCGGGGCCTACGAGTATGATCTGATTGATGATTCAGCCTGTGATCCATCAGAGACATCTTGTGTCCAGCAGGAAACCTTAGAAATGAACACATTTATAGAGAGTTTGTGGGATTTCAATGTGGAAATTATACTTTTCTCTCTGCAGCACGGCGAGCTCGGTCCTGAAGACGATGGACAACATGAAGAAGAGGAGGCGGCTCAGTAACAACAAAGAGGGAGTGAGTAACACACTCATCGAAATGTAACAGTAAACACCTCGTCTGTCCCAAACTGCCCCCGCCAGCGTCCTCAGAGTTCGTCTGTGTTTGACAAAGGATGTGACGGTTCCTTGGTTTGAACTCAGCAGTGTGAGTTTTACAAGTTAAAGCGTCTTTCTGATGTCTCTACTTCCACCAAAATACCATGAAGGCAAATTAAATACAGTCTGTGATGCTCACAGGATTGAAAAATTAAATAAAAGTTTTATTAATAATCCACAGAACAGTCGGCAGCTTTAATAGGTGATATTTTTTATTAAGTATTCTGAGATTTTGGGCTATTTTTGCTTATATAATAACATTTTCTTTTAAAAGTAGCAGAAAGAAAATGCCTCAAATACACATTCAGGTGTTTATTTTACTACACTGTCTGTAGAGTTCACCATTAGCATTAAATAACCAATGTAAAGTAACATGTAATCAACTGGAGAAGTTTATCACTGATTTCTTTCATTTGATTACTTTCATTTCTATTCTGAAAATGTGTGCAGATCAGTGCCTTTTTGATTAGATGAAGCATCATTTGCATATCTAATCATTTCAGTAACAAATTATCTTAATGTAAGTAATCAACTGGGGAAGTTTCACGGCGATAGCTGTTAGTTAAACTCTTCTACCCTTCGCCTGCTCTAGTTACTGTGCAGCGTTCAGTTACCTTTCTGCACAAATTGTAGTTTAATCCTGATTTTTATTTTTATTTAAACTATTTTGGGGAAGTTTTAGTGTCCAATTAAAACCTGTGTTATTTGATTCTAGTCATTAGTCATCGAGCAGGACTGTATGATGTTAACACAAACAGTCTTCAGTAAACAGTCTCAGCAGGACTGTTTACTGAAGCTGCTGCTGGGTCTCTCAGTTGGGTGCTGCCTCTCTCTTATCAGGCCATGGCGAGGGTGGTGCCCCCGGCTGCACCCTGCCTCCCTCCCTGTGCTCGCTGCTCGTGGGGAGGGGGCGACATCTCTATCAGCTGCCACCATATTGGAAGGCCTGTGAAAGCCGGAGAAGCACCAGCCCTTGTTTGTGTCTTTGTTTTTGTCACACGAGGTCGGAGAGGCGACATTTTAGGGCCGTCGCTGTCGAGCTGATTTTCTCTCAAAGTGTGAACTTGAACTAATTAACTGTAACCGCCTGACAGCTGCCACAGGTACACAGCTCACTGTAATTGTATTTTAACCCCTCACTCAGATTACATAAACCTTTTATCAGACGCAAAGCAGAGCGAAAAAATCCTCCTTTTTCATTTCACTTCCAACTTGCAGCAAACTTTTGGCATCAAGTCTGTTGGAAAACTTTCTACCTCTTATTCTGATTGGCCAATAATAAAACAAAATGTATTTCTGTAAAATAAAATAAATTCTGTTTGATTTGACAACGGCCAAGTGCTGTCCTGTATTGTTGAGAAAAACTCCTGGAAAATGTAAACTAGCTCCAGACCTCAGCCAGAAGGTGGAATCAAGACTTTTTATTCTTAATAAGATTAGAAGTTATACTCTGAGGCAGCTGCTGACTCCTGTGGAGGGTGTAGTTAACTATGTGCTGCCTCTCCAGTCGACTCTTTCCACCGACATTAATGTGATTGTTTTTATGTTTGATGAACCTGCAGAAGATCTACTCTAAAGCCCAGAGGAGGAGAACGCCGGTGCCGCTGCAGAGAGAGCCGAGTGACAGCGAGGACGGTTTGTGTGAACGTGAATCATTTCTTTAATGTGCTCAACGACGTCTCCGTTTGTCTTTACTCATGTTTAACTGTTGTGTGACAGGCGGCGTCGACGATGAGGTCAGCAGGGAGGAAACGGCTGCGGACGACGACAGCAACTGCAGCGCTAACCAGAACTTTGACGCCAAACTGAGCCGAGCCTCGTCGCTCTACCAGGGACCCAGCAGTGGTCAGCACCGCACCACCAAACTGAAACCAGCAACACGGTTACAATAAGACCTGGATGATAAAACACTCTCAATAGCAATAAGAAAATTATAATGATATATAATATTTATATAAATAAATTAAATATATATATATATATAATATCATTAGTTTCACTTCAGTGCTCATAAGCAACCATCATATCCCTTGGTAATAAAACGTGTAATACTCAGTACCGTACAAAAAGACTTTAAAACATCAACATTAAAATGATTACCTGTGTGCTTTGATAACTAAAGATAGTAAATTTAACCTTTTCTAACCTGCAGCTTGTTGCACCAGCTGTGTGTAAGGTCAAACATAGCCTGGTTATATCGTATATTGTTACTATAGTTTTGATTTATGCATTACTAAAATAAAAGCTATTGCACGCAGTAACCAGGACAAGCCACTAGGATTTCCGACCGGCCACCGCCAGTCCAACAATCAGTGATTGTCGATATATTTGTGCATGCGTGTGTGCTGTGCCAGCGCTCCCCGGACTCCCCCAATCACGCAGCGAGTTCACTGCGTACAACGAGAGAACAGCTTTAATAAACATAAAAAACTCACCAAATGTCAAGAAAGTTAAATAGAAAGACTTATTTTCCTCAGTAAACCGAAAACTGACAGCATCTGAAGTCTGAATCTTTAAAAAGACGCTTAAAGAAACAAAATAAAAGTCACCAAACCGTCTTCAATAGTCTTTATACTGTTCCAACAATCACTAACTCTGCTGTCTGACAGAGTTAGACTTTAAATATTCGGGCTCTAAGTGCTGTCGCTGCCTCTCTGATGCCCCTAACCTCCTTTTGAATTTATAGTCCTGATGTTTTCTCTGGTGTGGTTTAGAGTTCCTGAGAGGAACCTTCAGGATCAGCGCCTCAGGGCCCAACACGACCCGCAGAGGAGCACTCAGGTCAGACCTTTACATTATCAATACATTGATCGTTGCCAGAAATAGTTGAATATTACAAAAAGCAAGATGAGTGAGTGATGAGTGAAATTGTGCTGATCGGAGTTTGGAGACCCAGTAACTGCTGCGAAAACCAGTTCAGTTTATCCAAGAAAAATGGCATTTTATGACACAATTTTGTCCTCATACCTGAAATATGTTCCAGGTTAAATCTGGTTTAGTTTGTTTGAAAAAATAAACGTTAGTGTCTGAAATGAATGAAATGTTGATCTGGTGTCTTCGCTCGGTTACTCACATGAATATTTATTGCAAAGAGACAATTGAGTTACCATTTTACCTGCCCTACTTTCACCAGTCCTTTACCTCCATTTCCTTGTCTCTTTTCATTTCATCCCGCAGACCCACTAAGAAGGCGTGGACGAATCAATCCGATGAGGACGAAGACTCTGACGACGAAGCGCAACGCGTTCAGAGCGTCTCTGAAAGGTCAGTAGGTCGACGGTGAAGCTGCTCGCTGTGCTGTTTAATCCGAGGAGAGAAACAGGCCACTCAATCGAAGAAACCTTGTTTGTTTTTAGATCTTTAACACTGAGTTTAGCGAGCTGCTAAGGAAGCTGACACATTCCTATACCGGATTCTGATTGGATGTTCTCCTGACTTTAAGTTTGACATTTTTGGAAATACACTTATTTGCTTTTTTTGCAGTTAGATTAGATGTTTCATACCACTTTCATGGCTGTACGCTAAATATGAGGGTAAAACCAGTAGCTAGTTAGCTTAGCTTAG